CTCGAGGGAAGGAGTTCTGTGCGAATAGAGACCACCGCGTTCGTGTGGATTTAGTACTCGCTTCTCCACTGAAAATCCCGAGAAGGAACGTGTTAGCTTTAATTTTTCCAATTTTAAAAGTACAAACGTTTGAAATGTTTGCACCCGATTTCTTGTGTTTACTAATTTTCTAAGAAGATAATGCATCGCTGTGTTCTCTGAAAAAGGGGGGAAAAAAAAAAACCAACCTGGAATTATATTGCATGGTTGGTTTGTTTTAACACTCTTGATTTCTCCATCGAGAAGGAACGTGTTAGCTTTAATTTTTCCAATTTTAAAAGTACAAACGTTTGAAATGTTTGCACCCGATTTCTTGTGTTTACTAATTTTCTAAGAAGATAATGCATCGCTGTGTTCTCTGAAAAAGGGGGGAAAAAAAAAAACCAACCTGGAATTATATTGCATGGTTGGTTTGTTTTAACACTCTTGATTTCTCCATTTCTGTGTTCTTTTCTTAGCCCATCAAGGCTCCTGAGTCTGTATCCACTATAATTACAGCAGAATCAATCTTTTATAAGGTATGGTTTATGCAAGTTTGTTTGCAAAAAAGATCTTGCTGTCTCTATTTCCAATCTCAAAACTGCCACGGGCAGAGCAAGTGCTAGGGGTGTGTTCACAGAAACTGTTCTTCCTTGCCTAGCAGTTGCGTAGGGTTTTGCTCTGCCTTACGTCATTGCCGTTGAGTCGTGCGTGCAAGGTAGTTTACCACAGTAGTTTACGTTGTTGTCATTGTCCTGTTTTTTCTTCTTCCAAGAAAAGGGTGCATCTGGTTTCCTTACTAATTATTGCAGTTGAGGTTTTTTTTAAACTTTTAACTTTCACCATGCAGAGGTCGAGAAAAAGTGACTATATAGCCTATTATTTAAATTTGTGTGATTGTGCCTGCCTTAGGCACAGAGAATATTGCCTGTAGAGGGGCTGGGTTGCACTGCCCTAACATCCAGGCTGGCTCCCGTCTCAGAGCTGGGTGCAAGCACCCTCAGACACCCTGGGAACAAGGTCTGTTGACTGTTGCAGTGAAGGCAGAAGCTAGCCTTCTCACATTCATGCTTGAGAGCACGTTTACTAGCATGCCAAGGTGTTAGTGTTTCAAAGTTCTGAAATTTGCTTTTATTTAGTACAAACCAACCATTTGAAATGCCTTTTCCCCCAAAGAAAATGTCGGGATAGCCATTGGGGCAACTGCATAGCCAGAGGAGAAGTGGTATCTGAGCTTCCGTACGCTGTCTAGAGGCCTGATGCTTTGTGTCTCGCATCCCAGAGGAATCTGTTTGCTGTTGGCCAGTTCAGAAGAGAATTGATGTCTTGTCTGTGGTTTTGGTTTGGTTTTTTTTCCCCCCAGAAATTACTAAGAATTATGTCAGAAGTTTTACTTAACCTGATCTCTTTATGCAAACTGTTTCTATTTTGATACTTTGCTGTGTTGTTGCGAAGGGGATTGTCTGGGGGTTTTGAGGTCTTTTAAATCTGTTTTGAAAACAAAACCATCCTGGATGATGCTCGGCAAACTCTTGATACTGATAGGGCAGGCACTGTGTTGTGCTGTGCGACGTGGTAACAACGTCAGGTGAGTTGCCTTTGCTGCACAGCCTCACACGTTAGAGAGCACCATGGAAGATGGCGGGAGGGTGGGTCTGTGTTTTGGGACTGCCTTTGCATTCAAATGAGGGAACTTCTTCATACACAGAAAGCTGCTTTCCCTGCACACACAGCGAAATTACTACAGTTACTTTTTCTAGAAGGTGGTGTTGCACTCTCCTCCTTCTGACAGAATGAGACCATCTCTGCTCTGCAGACAGGAGGCGTAGCCTTGGACTCCTAGACATTGGGTGACTGTGCACAAGCAGTGCTGATGACTGCTTAGGTGAGACAGCGCTCTTACCTTACGCCACTGTTCTTTTGCATGTGGCTGAAATAAGACTGTCTTTCAAGACTGGGGTAATTTGACATAATTTAAGATGCTGGTACTTAAGATATGAATCAGAACCACAGAGCCAAGCTTCTAAAATCAGACTGTTGGTTTTAATAATCATTTATATCTCTCCTAGGGTGTATACTATCAAATTGGAGATGTTGTTTCAGTGGTTGATGAGCAGGATGGAAAAACATACTACGCTCAGATCCGTGGGTTCATTCAGGACCAATACTGTGAAAAGAGTGCTGCGTTAACCTGGCTCATTCCTACGCAAGCCAGCCCCAAAGACTGTTTTGACCCAGCATCCTATATCATAGGTAATGTCCAAGCCTTCGTTTTATACAACTACTTATATGTGCCTAGACTAATGCAGAGCTGTATTTTTTTAAACAAACTTTCTAGCTTGTCAGGGTCATTTGTGCAATTTCCACATGTTAGACCCTAATCCTGTAAGCACCTTGTTTGCGTCAATAACCATTTTTATTTATCTTACATATATAATATGATTAGCACTACCACAGTGAGTATGATTGTCTGAGTATTTGTGCTCACGGGCACAATTATAGTCTTGCAACTTTAAAGATCAAATTATTACTCCATAAATAGAATCAAAGTTATTACAGTATAAGCCTGATATACCAGTCCAAGCTGTTTCTTTTACAGTGAGCTGAATTAGCTGATCTTCATCTTGGGTACATAAAACACATAGCGTGCAAGCCCTGGCATAGAGAGTTTTCTGCTACTGATTCTAAAATTATTAAGAATTCAGAAAAGTCCTTTTGACAGGCAGGCCACAGATAGTGTCAATTTAAAATATATTAACCAAAGTACTGCACTCAAATAACCACATGCTTCAAATGGGGAAAAAAAAAAAAAGATCAGCCCAGCAAAAATAAAGGTAGAGGTTTCTTGCCTAGCATTTGAGGCTACTTTGCCAGGAAAGTCATTGATTGTGGGCTGTGATTGCATATTTTTAAGTCCTTCATACTCCAATTTTATGCCTTTAAATTTTGTCTCTGAAGACTTTTTTCTTTTTTTTTTTTTTTTCCTAGGACCAGAAGAAGATCTCCCAAGGAAAATGGAATATTTAGAATTTGTTTGTCATGCACCTTCGGAATATTTCAAATCTCGATCGTCTCCCTTCCCTACTGTTCCCACAAGACCAGAGAAGGGCTATATATGGACTCATGTGGGACCTACTCCTGCAATCTCCATTAAAGAAACTGTTGCCAATAATTTATAATTTTTAAAGGAATACTTTGGAGGAGTTATTTTGGGTGTATTCTCAGGTCTGTGAACCACATACAAGAAGTTTAAAAAAATTATAAAATGTTCATTTTACTTTATGGATTATGGTATTTATTTATTTTAAATTATATCAGATCTTTAAAGTGGAAGTTTTCTTTCCATTTGATGCGTCATTCCTGTGCTCTGTTCTTCAGACATGATTGCTCATTTTGGGACAAAACCACAAGTTTCATGTCATCTTCGACTTCGGTGAGCACACAATTGACTTCTGAAAGTTGCCTTTAGTGTTCCTATTTTCTAACTTATTTTCCAGAAAAGGAGTTAAAAGATACACTCTTAATCAGCCAGCACTTTATATACTTGTTTAATTTAGTTAGCTGTGACTGCAGTTTTTGTTTACTTCTTCAATAACTTAAGACTAGTTTCCAGTAAGCACTAAACGTGGTCAGTGATGCAGTTAACAGTTTTCTGTCACACTGGAGAGGAGCGATCTACTTGGATTTCTCTTCTTCAGACTAAAACCTATCATCCGCAGGGTAGTTCTCTATTTAACAGTCACCTTTTAAGTGAATTGTGTTCAGCTCAATCTAAAACGAGGGCCTGTGCACATAGCTTTCTGCTAAACTTTGCTTATATAAGGGGATAGATTTCTTGGAAAGTTGGATGCAAATTTAAAAATTGATGGTATTTGGCTTTGCCATCCTGGCATCCTCATGGCAGAAATGTATCTTCATTTCCCCGGCAAGCCAACACTGACGTATGATTTGAGTTTCACACTGTTACTATTTGTGTGTGTGTGTTAGCTTGGTCTCTTAAAATTCATTTTAAATGTTTTTTTTTAGTCTTTGCAATTAATGATGGTAAGAAAAAATCCTCAAGCAATTCAAATGCAAAAAACATTTGCTAAGGGAAATAAAGACTAATTTTATATATTGACAGTCTCAGTATACCAATGAAAATATTTAAAAAGCAGAATGGGAAAAATGCCACATATTAAAATACCACTGTTAAAGTTTTCTGCGCTAAACTTTGCACAAGCCAGTCAGCTCCAAACACTATGAGATGTGTTTGTATGGGCTGAATACCCTGGGGTTAGTGGTCTTAAATTTACATGTAAAGATCTTCTCAGCTTTTTTGGGGGGGATGTAAGTGACCATAGCACCCAAAAGCCCCAAATCAACTTTAGTATATTGTATGAAAGTCTGTAAAAGTTGTACTAGACTTATGTTTGAACTTTCTGAAAAGCTTCGATTTAAGGTGAAATGTATTTTGAAAGTCTCAGGTATTGACAACTTTTAATACAGTGGGACCCGTGACTGCAACAACCAGATCTGTTTCTCAGCCTCAGTTCTTCCCTCTTCACATACAAGGGAGAATAGTCAACCTTAAGGGAGTGGGTGCTAGATTTAAGGGATATGGTCAGCAGTTCAAAATGCTCAGAAGTTAGCAGTATGCTGCTAATACAGAGTTAGATCTCAAGTACCTTCAGGTGCTACATACATGAGATGTTCAGTGTGTTGTAGTAGTTAACCCCAAGGTGACCTTGCTCCTGACTCTCCTCTCCTTTCACTCCCTCTAGATTTCTTTTTTGCTGATTTATCTTTATTAAATTAACAAACATAAGAAAGTAAAAATAACGACTCTTAAAAGATACCTGCAGTAGCCAGAGTGACTCCCTCCACTCAAATGTTTTCCTTTCTTTCTCTGCAGTCCACAAGTTTTTCCCTTGGGATCACTGTGAAGTCCCTGTGCTGCCTCGGCGTAATCCATGGGGCTTTGCTCTGCTGGGGGCTGACTTTCAAGCTCAGCTGCTTGCCTTGTCAAATCCTTGTAGGAAGGGGGAAGAAAACAATGCTTACATTCAGTTTTGCTTTTTGGTGTTTCTATGATTTGCACCAAATGAGAAGTATTTGCTTGCCATTTGCCTTACTTGTCAATAAACTGTAACACAAAAGGGACAGGTTAGAGCAATACCAATGTATGTTTTATGATTTGAAGTTTGTTTCACAGAATTACCTGCTGACAAAGAGGTCTCCTGCACCTTCCTATGATGTCAAACAGCCGGTCATACTGAGAGAGGGGACTGATGGCAGGCTTGCATTACACACGTAGTTTGAAAGCTTAAGCAAAAGAAAAGAGTTTGGAGCAAGATCATGTCTAACCCTTATGAAAAAGGGTAGGCCATATAAAGTTCTACTTGGAGTAGCAAAGAGCAGAGCTCCAGGTAGAGGATATGTAACCTGGAATTTCTGTAAGAAAAAGCAAAGAACTGTGAGCATTGCCACTGTGAAATGAAAGCCAGAATCAAACAAAAATGTCATCCCTCACTGCATTTGAATCACTAGCAGCACTACATTTAAGAAAGTTGTATATATATATGATTAAAAAAAAATATGCAAGAAGACCTGCACAATAACAACAAAGCTATCAAATGATGTAGTAGGTAATCTGAAGCAAATGTGACTCCACTTCAGTTCTGTGACTTACCTAATTGTGATAGTTAATTATTTGGTTTGGGAAGACGCAAGACTCATCAGTTTTTCTGATGAGACAGCCCACGGAAACTTTAAATACCTTTTTAGCCGTCTGGGCTTGCCGTTTGTTAGGGAATGAAACAGGAAGAAATGACAGAAAAAAAACCCCCTTACTTGTCAGCTGATTAAACATAAAACTCACCTTCTAAAAATTTTTGCCAGACTGCCTAATACAGAAAAGGAGCTCTGTATTTCAACATTTTTATTTTGTTTGCTGCCGTGTGGTATGAAGCTACTGATACTGCCCCTGGCAGACAGAGTGATCACAGGTGCTGTGCAGTAGGGGCTAACCCATGTCAGTATAGCTAGCAAGGGCACATCAAGTAAACCACTCAAGGTATGAATTTATAAGGATACAGACAACTGCCCCGATAACCAGCAGAATGCTTGAGGTGGTTGACGTGGTCACGCTTGTCAGGGTTTCCTGGGGACACCAAGCACAGTGCGACTGTCTTTAGCTGCAGATGGCCAACACATTTTGAACCCTCTAAAATGGCATGTTGTTAGGGATGGTGATTAATAAACTAACATCAGTGACATGCAGAAAGATAAAACCTGAAACTACTACAGCTGACTTAAGCTTTTGCACCTTTTCCTGGTCTGTTAATAAGCTGAATAATTCCACAGAACATATTTAATTGGTTTCTAATTCTGTTTTTGTTAGCTTCTTAAACTGACTTCCAGCTGCTGCTACTGATACTCGTCAATGTTTCCAAGAGATGCTCTTAAGAAAGGAACAGGTAAATGGTAATATGTCCATGAGAAAAACCCATTTTGAAATAAAGTACATTTCACTTGTATATTTTTACTTCTCTCACCCTTAGTGTAGCAAATGTGTTCAGAAGAATGAAGCTGGGACAGATATTTGTGGGAGAGCGGGATCAGTCCTGGTAGTTGACTGTTTCCAGCATAGACTGTTCAATTTTATTTTATTTTTTTACTATGAGCATTGCTAGCTTTGGAGATGCAAACAGAACTAGTAGAAATTGAGTGACTCAGTAAAACAGATACAAACCTGTAATTAAAATCATAACATCTTAGATTATTTGTCATTACATAATCTGTTAATAGTATTTACCTTAGTCTTCAGGGCAAATAAAAACAGTAACAGAGTTGCAAATGCAGTTAGTCCTCCAACTTGAGTTATATTTACTGTATTGTGGGAACTAAGGCACAAGAGGCAACCAGGTAACTCAAAGTGCTCGAGCAGAAAGTAAGCCAGGGAAAGAAAAAACGCTTAAAAGATTTAATCTAAAATAATGCCAAGTATTATACTTCCAACTACTGTCTCAAAAGACAAAAAAAACCCTTTTTTTTTTCTTTTTTTTGCAAGAGCTATGGAACAACCTCCCTTAGTAAACACAAAGTATTTTATTTTAGTTTTTGATTATACTGGGAAGTGCTAAAAAGAAGAATCCAGATGGGCAAGGATTCTGATGGTAAGGTCCCTGAAGAGACTGGATCCACAGGCAATGCCTGTTACTAAAGCATTGTAACTTTATTTATAGGTATTTGAACAATTGCACTGTCCTGTTTTTGCATGTCCAGAACCTCAGGCAGTAACAAGGGCAGAATGACTGACTGTCCAGACAGCTTCTTACGGACAGAGCTGAAAGAATGGGCAACATCTGTCTGAAAATTTCTCATATTAGGAAAATGGAAGGGCAGAAGGAAGACCTGCAAAATGGACTCAACAGCAGAAGGGATATCACAGGATCCCATGGAGGAAGGCTTTGATGCCCTGCAAACTGGAGGAGCTGAGCTCGCCGTTATTTTCTCTTCTCTTGTTCAGTATCCCCCATGCCAAAATTTAGGTAGGTCTCATTCTTGGATCATTGGACTGTGAGTGGATACACTACTACTGAATTTTTATGGCCTTGCGGTAAGCTTCAGAGCTTTGTGACCAGCCAAAAGACGTTTTCGTTGAGCAATTTTAGTTCTAAAGATGGAACATATAACTAAGAGCTAAAATGCACAGAGCATATGTAATATACTCAGTCATGCATAGAACATGCAGTGTGCCCTGGTACACACATTGCAACTCCATCTTCCATGAGAAAAATCCCCATTTTGTAGTTGTAGGAAATCAGTATTATCCAAGAACATTTGCCTTGCAGGACAGGAAAAAGCTTCCATGACAGAAATAACGCAGACATTGTTTTTTAAAACTACTTTTTGACTGAGGAGAAGTTTCACTTCTGCATCTCTATAAGAGAATGAAAGAGCGTGAAAATTAAAAATCATGGACTTCAGCAATATACTTACCTGTATTAAGGTATGAGGCACCCGTTGAAGTAATTTAGTTAGCAACTGTACACACAATAATACAATTCTCATCTGAGAAAAAAAAAGGGGAGAAAAAGCAAATGAAACATTCTTAGTGACTGATAGCTCAAATAAATACAGCAAATAACAAGTAACAGCTTTAATTGCTGGAAGCAAAACATTTTCAGATGTCATATGTGTAAAGACTGTCAATTAAATATTCAATTATTTATTCGAGATATATTTATATTATTGAAATGGAGTCTTAGTTGCACAAAGCCACACTGGTTGAAATGGAGAAATTACTAATTTTGGATATATACTTGTAAGTTATGTAAATATACGAACACTATTCTTTTCCTCAGGTATTTGTCATGTATTTGCAGGCACATCAAAAACACACTTTGGGTGTATGTTAAATGATTTTTTAACCTCTAACTTGCCTGAGTGAGTATCATTAAGGACTTGGAGATTTGTGTTAGAAGGCTGGATCAAGGGGAAAAACTCAAGGCCATGCTTTTCCAGAACTGAATTTATTTAATTTTCCAGGTTTTAACTTATGCCTAGGAGCTTCTTGATAGGCAGTATATTGGCGTACCCATGGCTTTTACATTCTAACAAAGGCTTTTTTCTTCTGATGCTTTTTCTGTGTCTCTGCATCTCCTTCCAACACCCGAACACGATGATCAGAGCTACCTGGGCCAGTCCAGACAGCCTTGGGTGGGCAGGATCTGAGGTCACTGCAGAGTAGAAGCCAGACTTGGGACCCAGTTAATGGTTCCTGCCTTAGAAAGAGCAGCTTCTCTTTTCCCTCCCCTCCTTTGCCTGCCCAAGAGGCCCTAGCTGATAGGTTTTCTTTCTTTTATGCTCAGCACCTTCTAAGTGCAGCAATGAGAGCTAACTGAACTTGCAGAGAAGCTAAAGGGGTTGCAACGGGTGCGACAGACCAGCATAGACCATTTCAACTTGAAGCACTGGCTGAGGGACAATGAAAAACCTAAAAATCAGTAAGTAGAACTTCATGGTTTTCAGCACACAGGGTTAGGTATGTATCTATTTACTACCCTCACATTACAATTCCAGCCTTCAGTGAAGAAGAAGGAGCATGGAAGATGTGAATAGAAAGTGGAAAGAAATGAGATTAATTTCCTTCTCGTGCCATAGTCCTACCAACCAAGAAAACCAAAAGATGTAGGAAGAGAAGTAGCAAAATACCAACCTGATCCACTCTGGTAGAGGTCCCAGGTGGTACTGTTAATAACCTCTCAGTCCAAACCAGACGTTCGGTGCATCGGTTCTGGGTACTTTCGTAAGCGAAAGCCAGCGATAGTGCTCCAGCTGCTGTAATACCCTGGTCCTGGGAAGAGACAAAGGAGTAGTTACAACATCGTATGGGACTGCAAAATACAGGTTTCAGCATGTCCATTGAGCACAACAGGATTGCCACACTGTCAATGAATAAAAATGTGTCATTCCCTCCCGCCAGCTTGTGCTCAGTGCTGTTTCCCTCAGCTGTCCTTGCATGCTCCCCAAACTCAGGTCTCTCTACATCTACAATTCCCTGAGGGCCAAGAACTCAGGGTGATTCACTGAAGTACCAAAGATGATTGGATGAACAGTAACAGACAAATAACAGTGGTGAACAGTAACAGTTTTACACTGGTGATGGTGTATAGGGTGATTTATGTTGCCTAGATTTCAAAAGTCTGTGCCTGTGACCATCTCTGATACTTTCTGCAGCTTGTGTGCTGAAGGTGAGAAGGCTTATGGAACGAGAGTGACCTTCCCTTCTTTCCACATTGAAAATGTCCATTTAATAGATTTGGTGAGTTGTCTTATTTCCCCTACATTGCAGAAAAAGCAAGTAAAAGGAAAAGAGCAATTGCCTACTTGAGGTAGACAGGCCACCTCTGCCTGGGTAACATCTCCACTAGCAAACACAGACAGTTCGTACATCACACAAACCTGTGAAAGAGCACAGAAACTTTCCCAGGAGCTGCCAATCTGCCATGCCTGAGGTCAGGTAGTCCTTGCAGCAGTCCATACTGGTGTATGCACACAAGTCAAGCAGGCTCCCATTGCCTTTGGGGTGTAAAGCAGCCCCTCTTATTATCCCTTTTTTAACCTGTTAGCCTAATCTGTCAACCACTTGGAAACTGAAGCTAGTTTCCAAAATGACGGGACCCTGAATATCAATTTTCCAGTTCCCTCTCCTCAAGGAGTGAGGACATGGCAGAGTGAAAATGTTGCCTTCCTGGTTTACAGAAGAACGGGATTTTTTTGCATCCTGCATCCGGAGGTAGAATCCCAGGAGATCTTCCCTCTCTGCTCTTCTGGTGAGGTGCTGAGCCTGCCAGGATCTTGCTGACTCATCTCCCACGTCACCAATCGTTGTTACGCGCCGAGTTGTTTTTTCCACGTGTTTCTCGCCTTCCAAAATGTCACAAAACAACTAGTGACTATTAACTTCAAAACAAGAATTGACTGCAGGCAGCATAATGAATGGCCAAGGGAAAGCTTCATCAATATTTCTCGAGAAACGTATTTCTCTTTCTCTGTGAGATCTTGGTGATCTCTGTGCACCTCTCAGTTCCGCGTGGGGTGCATAAGCCAGCTGTAAAATCAAAGCACAAAAAGTCTAAATGCACAAAGTAGCCATGGTGTAAGGGTTTAATAATTAAATACATGTTCAAGAGAACATCAGCAAGGTTTACGAGCAAATATTGGGCAGTAAAGCTTATTGTAAAACTCCCCTTTGTGCACCTCTTGTTTATAGCCAAGGGTGGGGCAGCAGTACGGTGCGTGAGAGAAAAGAAGCCTTTCCCTTTCCATTTATCTACAGTAAATGTCAGCTGCCAAGTGCAGTCATCCATTTTTGTGAAGGTCTTCTGCAGTGTTTTATTACCAGCCTTTGTTTTTACAGGCCTGAAAAGCTAAATCATTAGGGATTTGTGTTGCTGCTGCTGTTTCAGTCTTCTGCTGTCAAGATCATTTATGAATGTCCCAGGACTTTCCCTCATATCCAATGGTTGCTTTGTGTGCAACGGAAATGCCAGGAAGTTTGTGAGGCAGAATTCCCCTTTCCAAAGACTCTGCTAACTCTCCCCCAATATATAATACCTATTAACTTGCCTCTTCTTTTGGCACTTTCTACTAATTTGTCCATGCAGACACTGAGCTTATGAGCTGTAGGACCCCAAGTCTTCTCTGGGAGTAGCTTACTAAGTTGGCATTGTGTTTGCCATGCTGCCACCCACTTGCCTTTAAGTGAAATGTTGCGTTATTGCATCGGTAGGTTCCGTCAGCACTGCTGACTGAATACCATCACGTATTCAGGTGACCTACTACTGCTCGCTTTGCCTGTTTCTTCCATAATCTCTTCTACCAGAGCCTGCAAAGGATCTCCTATAAGGATATGTGGAGTGTGAGGCTGTAAACTTTGCAGTAAAATTGTCTGACTAAAGGCTTTGCAAAATTGGGGTGATGAGGAAAAGGAAGGGAACAAGCCTGTGGACAGAAATCCTGACGGGGCCGGTCAGTACAGTCGTCTGGCTGAGCCCTGTGCCTGGTCACCTCAGCCTGTGCCATCACCTTGTATCTTCTATTTAAACCTTGTATTAACTGTCTGTCTGCGTAATCTCACTTCACCCCATGTGTGTGGGTGCTTCACGGACCATGTGCTAGCTATTGGTGAGACAGGTGTGTGTGCAGGTGGAATTTGGTGACAGCTACTGGAGTTAGGCTGGGGGGTATGGGTGACCCAGCCTGTGGCGATGGCTGATGGAGCCAGTGGGGGTCCCAGCTACGAGGGTGGCAATGGCGTTCTCAAAACCAGCTACAGGGGGGTAGAGGCATGAGTGAGGCGAGTCAGAAACAGTGGCTGGAGTGGGACCACAGGCCCGTGTGCCTGGTGTAGGCTGCCAGGGGGGACATGTGTCTGTATCTTCCCCAGGTCTGGCATGTGTGGGCTGTGCATGTGCATTCATTGGCAAAGCCAAAGCTGGAGCAGCCGGCAAGTCGGGGGGCCTCAGGTCTGGGATGGTGTATCAGCTGGGTGTGGGGTCCATGCTGATACATGCAGAGGTTCATGTAAAGGTGGGGAGCATCAGGGATGAGTATGTCAGTGCTGTGTGTTTTGCTAGTGAGCACCAAGCTGGGCCAGATGGTGAGTCAGGGACCCATGGGCAGGTAAAGGGGCCCAGGATCTGGGCAGGGGGGCCGTGCTGGTACTCGAGGGATGTGCAGAGCCACATGTGCTTGTGAACCTGGAGAGTGTCATGTGCGACATCACATGCCTGCACTGGTGACCTCCTGTCTCTGCCAGCCCCAGTGGAGGAAGGGACTTGGCTGTCTGTGTTTTGTTTGAGTCCTGCATCTAGGTGCTGTTGAAGGCAGCCCCTTGCCTGTGGCAGTGCGTGTGACCGGTCGTGTCGGCATCCTCCGTGTGAGTCTGTGGAGGTGTCCGTGTCTGTGTGTCTGTCCATCCATGCGTCTCTGTGATCTGTGCTCAGCTTCTCTACTGGCAGAACCTGCAAATGGGATAATGACCGCCATGTTCCTCAGCCTGGGCAGAGGCCCGAGGTCCCCAGGTCCCTGGGCTGGTCTCCAGCCACCGGGCCCAAGGGGTCCTGGGCCAGAGGGGCTAGAGAAGGCAGCCAAGTTCCTTACATCACTTTTGATGCACTGCCATGGGGAACAACCTCAGTCTATTAAATACAGGTCACAGTTAGGCAAGGATGGTTGGAAATACCCAAAGTGGGTGAGACTTTAACAATTTTCCATCTAGAGAAAGGTGCTTTTAAATGTGCCAGCACCTGGCTTTCTCAGCCGAACTGCAGAGGTCTAAGGAAATAGCAGCAATGACGCAATTGTCTCTTCATTACAGAGGCACGCCGCATGGATTTGGTTGAGCATTCATATCAAAATCAAGCCAGCTACAGCAGAGAGGGAGATCCAGGGTGCGTTTCCAAATGTGGCAGGGACTATATTTTTAACGGATACTGGATCATTGCCTACCTTA